TACCTTCAACCACTTTTCTTGAAAAGACCATTTAAAATCACCTTTCACACTTTACAATCATTTGTTTGAATAAAAGCTTTATCATTGTCTTTCAATATGAGTAATTATTACCAATAAATAGTGAAGGCTATATAATAGAGTGACCTTCACTACCAATGGATGTAGCAACGATTTCAAGGGTCATGAGACATATTTCATGTTAAATATCTTTTACTTTATTTTTGTTTCTATGAATTTGCTCAAGTTTATATCAAATTTCCTTAGAGGTTGAATAAATAGAAACCAAATTCAAGTTATGAGAATTAAGAGCCTTATGAAAAAAGTACTTGGCTTTTGTATCATCTTTCAACTTCTTTAAGAGCTTTTCATCATTTTAGAAAGCTCCAAGACCTCTTTCTATTATATTCTATTCTCCAAAATCATGACCTAAAATGAACATTCTTATTCTTAACTTTCATTGCCAAAACTCATATTTTTCAAACTTTGGAGCCTTGTTTTCCTTGTCACTACTTTGGATGATATTCATTTGAGCCATAAGATCTTTCTCTTAAGGTTTTGAAAACCTATAAAAGAGACTAAAACTCTAATACTAATTGTTAGCTCAAATATGTAAAATAATCTAAGAGGGGTGAATTGGATTATCAAAATTTTAAGCAAATTTAAGCTCAAATATTGTGAAATTGATCATACAAGTAAAATAACTACAAATAAGCAATAAAAAAGTAAGGAAAGAATATCAAACACAATTGTGTATAGAGGTTCGACCCTTCTCCAACAACTTGCCTATGTCTTTGCCCTTAGTTTTTCTAGCCAAGCTTCAAATCCACCAGTAGAATGTTGTTTTACAAGTTGCAATCTCTATCTTTTTAAGGCTCAAGATAGCAATATCTACCTTTTGTAAGATTTTACACAATCTCATTACAATGCTTTCAAGAGAATACTACATCTTTTGCTCTTTAATCCTTTTTAGATATCAAAAGAATTTGCAAACTATGAAAACCTCTAATAAGTAAGTGTTTGCCAAATTTAAGAGTAAAGATGAAGAGATTATATTTAAGAATTTTGGCTTGAGTAATACAAAGATTGGATTTTTTGCTCTTTAAATGCTTCAAAAATGGTAATCTATGCTTTAGATGTAATCTTTTACTCTTGAATTTGTTGGAAACTTCCTTTTATTTATGTTTTTTTTTTAGCTGTTATAAGTCATTGAAATTGAAAAATAGCCATTACTACCTTCAATTTTGGGTTGAATTCGAACTTTCTACTTAAGGGGATCGATCTTAGAATCAATCTTCATGCTTTCAAATTAAAAAATATAGTCGTTAGAAATGAGGGAATCAATCTTGAGATCAATCCACTAGCTTAAAAAATAGGGGAGGAGCATTCTGACTCGAGGGGATCAATCTTGGGATTGATTTTCATGCTTAAAAAATAGAAGATGAGCTTCTGGAAGCAAAAAGGTCAATCCTCTACATGGTGGGATCAATCTTTTTTTCTAAATTACATTTTGATATTTTTTACAAAAGAAAAAAAGGTTGATTCTTCTCAAAAATATTTTTATAGATAATATTCATTTAAGAGTATGACTTGTTAAGAAAATTTGAGGTCCAATAATATTTAATCATTTTTTTAGGATTGAATAAAAAATAATGTCAATGAAAAATTACTAAATGAATAAGTTTGAAAATAATAAATTTAACTTAATGTTTTGTTATGTCAAAACCATAGATCAATTCAAAGCTGTCAACATCTATTACTAGTTCCTTGTTTTTAAGGAATTCATTTATTATGTCTCAAGCCCCAAGCTTATTGTCAGTTAAAAGTTTGTCTTAGCCTCATCGAACAAGCTCAGCTCATTAATTGTTTCTTAAACCCTGGTGGCTTTGTCGATATAGAGTAAGATAACTTTTTACATTTTTATTGAGCTTGAGCAATTGACAAAAATTTGTTTTGAGGGCCTAACCATCACGTAGTACCAACTCTTGTCATGTGGATGTTTTTTAATGGCAAAAAATTCTTCAAAAAGACTTACAGTAAAAAAAAGGCCTAATTTTTTTGTAAAGGATAATAAATCATACTATGTACCTAAAGAAATTGAAAGCTAGCTAAAAGAAGGTCAATAATGAAGAAGTTAAAAGAAAACCTAAGATCTACCAAGATGGAGTCCTCATAAACTTATATTCTATCAAGCTCTACTATAGTAGTCACCCTATCTTTAGGCTTAGGCGTTACTACTTTGTAATCTTCCAAAAAAATATCAAACTTGTCTTTTAAAGAGGCTACGTGATGAATTGAGCAAAAATTAGGACACTCCTCAAGAATAGCTCTTCCCTTTAAACTTTTCATCTCATCTTTTAGGTTGACATCGAGGTTAGAAGGAATGTAAAAACGGATAAAGGCATCAACATTAAAATTGGAACCCTTTGCTTTTTCATCATTTTCATCACCCTTTTCAGTTTGGTGGAATCCCTTAGGTTGCTCATACTCCTAAACCTACTTAGTCCTAGAAGCCTTCTCGGTAGTTAGCTCGGTTACTAAAGATTGATAAGATCTTTAAACCTATGAAAGGCTAGAGATCTCCTCAACATTAGAGGAAAATAACATTGACTTAGAAGCAGAAGATTCTTCTAAATCTAATGTTAATCTAGACTTAAAGTTTGAGACTAGATCTATAGTAGTTTGAGCATTAAGAAAGATAATCAAAGTTTATCAAAAATGAGGGTTTGACCAAACAAAGAATTTGGATAAGAAATCGAGGAGGAATAGGCTAAAACAGATCAATAAAGGTTAGACGAATGAGCTGAACTAACCACATTTGCAAGAATAGGGGAATTTTAAGGATCAAAATATATTGTCGTTAAAAGCTTATCTGTCCCATGAAAAACCTTTTCACCTCTAGCTCGAGCATTTTTTTCTATTTATTTTTTGCTTTCTATAGACATTGTGTTCAACCAATAGGATTTTGCAATAATAGAAGGGACCTCATCATTTGAAGGAATCTCTACCTTACTTTAACAACCTAACCCATCCTAACCTTTATCCTAAAGTAGATAGGTTGGAACTAGAAGATATATTAAAAAGTTAACATATGTATCAAGGTAAATGAAAGGAATGAGAAAGATCGAAAAAAAAAAGCTAAAAAAACTCTCAAGGTTGGTAAAAGAATAGGTCAACACAAGATTAGGAAAGTAAGAAAATGCTAGAAGTTGAGAAAATGAAGGTTTCAAACATGTTTTATATACATAAAGGCTAGATTGAATGAACGGTCCAGATTGAGCCATGACACTGTACATGAACCAAGGATAACCTTTTAAAATTTTCATTCAAATTTAAAAATATCATAAATTTTAACTTTTTGCTTGAATTCCTCTCCCCTCATTATATGAATTTGTAACCAATTCATCCAAAAATTATTTGAAGTGTCATGTCGGTCAGACTATATAAGTAACAAAAACAAGAACTTTAGGTCGGAAAGCGAACACCACCTAAGTACGATTTTGCAAAAAATCATGTTAGACTTACCATGAAAATTATCACATCGTCTTTACTACAAAAATCTTAAGAAATCCACACTCAACTCTTAGCTCAACTTTGCAAATAACAGATCGACTAGATCGATCTTTTAGTTGTCTGACACCTCATACTACTTGATGGGGGGACAAACTATTAAGGGCATTTTATGGTCATAAAGGTAGTATGGAGTTTTTCTTTCAAATAGTAACTCATCAACAAAGCTAGGGCAATTATGTCATTTTGAAAGTTAATGTGGTAGGCTGATTTGAATTCTTGAAGTTCATGTCGACTGGGCTAGCTCGATCTTCCACTTGAAGGCACATAGGAACGATGACTTGTCAACCCTCAATTGGACTGCCACTTGCCAGGTTAGGTTGGGCCAACATTGTTAGTCTTTGTTGGTAGTTCAGAATGTGGTGTATCCCATATTGAATAGAAAGATCATCTATATATAATTTAAAAGAACCTACTTATATGATTTAAGCAATTGAGTTAAGTAGTGGAATGGGCCAAAGTAGAATTGTTAGGAATTTTCTTAGTATGTCAAAGAATTTAAAAAAAAAAAATTGGGCACTTGGGCACAGATTTATTTTTTAATTTTTTGCTTATTAATTTTAAAAATATTAATAAATTAATAAATACTTTTTTATTCTACATAAGCTCGTATAAATAGAAATAATTATTTTCTGACAAAACAAAAAATTATAATTATTTTATAATTATTCAAATAATTATAATTATTTTAATAGAAAAATATGACTATATAGATTGTTATAACTATTTGAATAGAAAATTATAACTATTCATCTTATATATAGATCTTTCTACATAATCAATTTCACTAATTTTGATTTGGAGAGTTTAAGATTTTATTATATCTTATAAATATAATTGCTTTTAAGTTATTATTTTTCACGCCTCAAAATCAATTTTTTTATTCTTTCTATATTTTCAAATTTTCTAATAATTCTAGACTCAATTTTCAGTGCTCGAGTCATCCAGACTCGATACTCTTACCTTATAGTATAAATAACCCTTTCATATCAGATTTGTGCATTCAATTTTCTTATCTCTTTTTAAGATTTCTCTTTCTTTTTTTTTGAAAGTTAACTTAAATATCGAAATATAAATAATGAAAAAATCTTTGATCTTAACTTCTAACCGATCTTTGGTCGTGGGATTTTAAGTTTTTACCGTCGTCAAAGTAGTTTGGCATAACCTTAAAACGATGTAAATAAAATAAAATACTCCCGTAAATTGGATTCCAAATCATCACATATTCACATATATTGCCTGAATTCCACAAGAGTCAGGGCAGGAGGAGCTGCCGAATGAAACCTATATGGTTCTTATATCTTTCCGTGTTTTTCGTCAGAACTCAAAAAACATAGTCTGACTTTATTCATTACTGGCTACCACGAATACAATTTAAACAAGGCAAGAAATAAATAGATAAATAAGCACTAATTGCTTTTAAAATTGAAAATTCAAATTTGGCAGCATTATAAATTGCATTGAAAGAGAATCCCCATTTATTTATTGTCTTACAGTCTACAAGGAAGGTTGAAAAAAAGTTGCTATAAATAGGTGTGCAGCTTCAGGCAGTCAGTATGCATTGGCTCAAGTTTACCAATTTGGTTTCTCTTCTTTTTCTGGGTTTTGCCTTCCTTCTGTATTTTCACATCTACCCATCTTCTTCCCATCAAAATATGGCCGAAGACGCCCCCAAGTCAATATACGACTTCACTGTCAAGGTATTCATTTCTTTCCTTTTAATTACTTCTTCATTTGCGTTTTCCCTTTTAGATAAGCACTGTTGATTTGCTGAGAGATAAGAGGAGATTAAGAAAATGATTTGGTTTTAATCCCTTAGATTTGAATTACTTTCCTCAAAGTTTGTTAATCTTTTGTTGGCCAAACAAAATTTGTTAATTGGCTGCTGGATATATATTGCTCTCTTCAATATTAACTTTTCATCATATAAATCAATATCTGTTTAATCGTGTACATGTTTTTCAAAAAAAAGTAAAAAAACCTCATGCTTCAACTTAATATACTTGTTACTATCCTTCACCTTGCTGCTGTAAAATTAATCTGCAGGACATTCGTGGAAATGATGTAAGTTTAAATGAATACAACGGGAAAGTTCTTCTGATTGTGAATGTTGCTTCAAAATGGTAATCTGCCTCATCAGTTATATGGCTTGATTATTCAGCATGACTAATTTCTTATTCTATCTTCATCAATGACTTACACCTTTTTAACCATTCATGTTAAATCGTATTCTCCCTTTGGCAGTGGTTTAACGCAATCTAACTACAAGGAACTCAATGTGTTGTATGAAAAATACAAAAACCAAGGTCTGTCACTTGTCATAAATTGGAGACCTTTTAGTGTTTGTCTAATGGCTTGATGCTTATAAATGTTGGAATGTATTACCTGGCAGGATTTGAGATATTGGCATTTCCTTGCAACCAGTTTGCCGGACAAGAACCAGGAACTAATGAACAGATTCAGGAAGCTGCATGCACAATGTTCAAAGCAGAATTCCCAATTTTTTATAAGGTTGTAAATATGTAAATGAGTGCTGTTATGTTTGTCTAATTCTTTTGAATAAAAATGTAGTTTTTTTTCCCTCTTACGATCAGCAATGTTAGTTTGTTGAAATGCATAGCTTCCCTCCTCTATCCCACCCTATGCCAGCTGCCAGCATCTGGTGAACAAGCAGGAAGCTAATTAACCTCCTTAGCATGAAAATGAAACTGATTGATTTGTATACGACTGTGACACAATAGTTTCTCCATTAAAGTTTCATTAATGCGCATGCATACATACCTATGTTTTCTAATATTTCATATCTGGCTATCGTAGGTTGAGGTAAATGGAAAGAATGCAGCCCCTCTTTACAAGTTTCTAAAATCAGAAAAAGGTGGATACTTTGGAGACGCTATCAAGTGGAACTTCACAAAGTTTCTGGTAAATAAAGAAGGAAAAGTTGTGGAGAGATATGCTCCAACTACATCACCTCTCAAAATTGAGGTTAGAGCTGTTTAATTGTTTGATATCACTTGATACCAGTAAAAAGTTTAAAGTATTCCAGCTGATTGTTCCTTGTTGCATTTCTCTCCGGTAGAAGGACATACAGAACCTACTAGGATCTTCTTGATTGTCAAGGTATGAAGCTACTACTCATCTAGCATCAAAGAAGCTGCAATGGCATAAACCATAGATTTTCTCCAGGTCAACAATATGATTAGAGTGATTGCAGCATCTGATTTCACATTTTTTTGCTTTGATCTTGCAGCAGCATACAAGGGACATTTTCTGGAAATTGCTGGGAGTAGATGGATCTAAAGCTTGGTTAGTGTTTGATGGTGTTTTTCTCATGCTATCTAAATTATAAGGATGAATGATTGCAATGTCGACTATAAATAATATCTGTGGAGCTGCTACACACAGATGGTTGCAAGGCTAGTGGTTAATAATCTGTAATAATTTCTGCGGAGCTTTTACATATTTTCGCAATGATTCAAACTACTTCCATCTATCTGATATATATCTTCTATCCTGGCTAAGGGCACAGCTTCTACCGATTGAAAGATACATTATGAAAACTAAGCAGCATTTCTTTCAAGCAAAAACTAAAGATTGAGAAATAAAATCAGGCAAATCTGACAAGTAACTAGTATAGGGAAGATTAAACTGAAAACAGTAGTAGTTTACAACTTTTGCAAATTAGATTCTTTTCCTAACACTTTCTACACATTATATAAATCAATAACAGAAAAAGTTTTACTATTTTCTGTGAAACAGACCAAATCCAAACATTTTTGCATAATGAAGAGTTATTGGTCCTTAGGTCTCTGGAGAGCACTTTATTTTCACAAAGTTGATTGTTCAGAAAGTGTAACATGGCGTCCAGCTTCACTGGCGAAACTGATCCAATCAGTTTTGACATGTTGCTTTGAGGAGCCCTCAAATCCAGCTGTACGTAAACTAGTCCAAAAGATCATCTGTGTTTTGCTCAGATGGTCTCCACCAACAACTTCTGGTGGTTCAACTGAACTTGGTCTCTCGTTTTTCTCTTTCAAAACAAAACGAACAAGTGCACACTAGTGTCATGGACAGAAGTCAGAACTAAATAAAAGCTGACAGTTGTCCATAAATTGTCAAGTACAGAAAGAGGCCAGCAAATTAACGTCAAATAGCTCAAGAAAGACATGATGATGTTTCAAGAACTAGGCAATGATTCTACTTGACTCTACTTTAATTGGAACAGTTCCATCCATCTAAAAGTTATTGCCTTGTAGGACATAGAAAACAAAAATATTTGTTCTTTCTACTTCAGATTTCTAACTGACTGCTAAAAACTAACAAGCAAACATTCTCAAGATTTTGTTCTCCTTTGGCATTAGAAAATGAGGTACCCACCTTGTTCTTCTTTGCAGCATGTCAGGTTTGCCCCAAATTTCCCCTAGGGAAAGAGGGAACCTGATTAAGGAGCTTGTTAAAAGTTAATATTTAGATGCATGGACTCAAGATTTTTTTCTTTTTCTTGACCAAATGGAAAGCAAGAATTTAAACCAAGCCTGTTTCAGCACTATCAAATCTTAAATAATGGAGAATAAAGCAAAAAAAAAAAAAAAACTTACTGCTTGTTGATAGCTTAACTTGAATTTTTGTTTTTTGTTTTTTTTTTCTCATGTTTGCAAACTTTATCCATCTTGTCAAGCAACTCGAGCTATTTTCAACTTACCATACTTTTGAAATGCCTGTTGGAAAGAAAGAATTTAAACCAAGCCTAGTTCAGCACTATCAAATCTTAAATAATATAGAATAAAGCAAAAAAAAAAAAAAAAACTTACTGCTTGTTGATAGCTTACCATGAATTTTTGTTTTTTTTCAAAAAAAAGAAAAAAACTTACTGTTTGTTGATAGCTTACCATGAATTTTTTTTTCTCATGTTTGCAAACTTTATCCATCTTGTCAAGCAATTCGTGAGCTATTTTCAACTTAACATACTTTTGAAATGTCCGTTGGAAACAAAGAATTTAAACCAAGCCTTGTTCAGCACTACCAAATCTTAAATAATAAAGAATAAAGCAAAAAAAAAAAAAAAAACTTACTGCTTGTTGATAGCTTACCATGAATTTTTTTTTTCCTTGTGTTTGCAAACTTTATCCATCTTGTCAAGCAATTCACGAGCTATTTTCAACTTACCATACTTTTGAAATGCCTGTTCGAAAGCATCACATACATAAACTGGAGGGTGTAAACCTTTTCCAATCATGGAGTTCAGTTTCTGGTAAGCAGCTTCCAGTTGACCAGTTTTACAGTGCTTGAGCAAGATCTGTGTTTCCAGTTTACCTTCCAATTTGAAACACAAATCCATCTGCCCATTTTCCCTCAAAAGTTTGTCCACCAAAGTTAATGTGTGAAAATTTGGAGCCAAACCCAGGCTCAACATTTCAATCAACAAATTATAAGCAGCTTCCCAATTCCTTGCTTCGCTATAAGAATGGATTAAAGCAGTATAGGTTACATTATCAGGAAGGCATCTCTTTTTGTTCATAACCTTGAAGACCCTTTCAATATCATCCAAACTACCTGCTTTGGATAGCATGCAAATTATGGAATTATAAACAACCAATTTTGGCTTCACCCCAAGGGACAGCATTCTCCCAAACAAAAAGCTAGCTTTCTCAGCCCAATTATGTTCGCATAAAGCTTGCACAAGAACAGAATATCCCTCTTCCAAGCAACTCATCTTTCTTTGCTCAACAACCTTCAGTATCTTAAATGCTTCTTCCATCTTCCCCAATCTACAAAGCTCTGACATAAGCTGAACAATGACAAAAGCACTAGGTAACAAACCCAAATCTCGAATTTTCCAAAACACAGAAACTGCAGGCTCTATAGCACCCTTATTTGGGCTCACATTTGGAACCAAAATTGTAAATGGTCTAGAAACTTTTTTCACTCTAACTTTCCCAGTCGCGCCTTCCTTAGCACTTAATAAACACATCTGCCCAATAAGAACATTCACCGCAGACCTGGTTGGGACCAAACCCGCTCTATTCATATTGTTAAAAACCTGAAGGGCGGTCTCCAGCCTATCAAATTTACACAATCCAAGAAGAATATTACTATATGAATAGGTATCCGGAACATCAATCCTGTGAAAAATAGTGAGGGCAATATCAATCAATTCCCCAGACGTTTCCTTCTTGCAAAGCACATAGAGAATGTTATTATAGACAATATTATCAGGTTTACACCTAAATGTAGTTTCCATTTCTTGAAACAGAGAAAGGGCTTCTGCGACCCTCCCTTGCCTACCCAAAAACCTAATACAAATTGAAAAAACCCGGCATGAAAGCCGTCCCTTTTGAGACAAGGTAGTGAGCAAGAGACACTTGATATCATCAAAGAGCTTCCTCCTACCCAAGAAATCAGCCATGTACTCAATGACGCAGTCATCAAATTGAAAACCCATTTGAATTCCAGCCCAAGAATAGAACTCCAAGGTTTTAACTCTACCTAACTGCTTATAATTCATCAGAATTTGAAGCACAAGTTTTGAACTTAACTTGCCCTTATAATCCCTTAACAATTCATCAAAATCTTTGCATTGAACGGTCTGAGCAGAGATCAAAGAAGAAATGGAACTAACAGCAGAAGAACTTACAGCGTTTGAAGGTGAAACTTGAGGCAATTGCGTGGCAAGTGAAGAAGAATGGGGAATGGCGGTTTTTGGCGTAGGAGAAAATAGAGAAAAGTGAAGAAAGCATTCACAGGAAGAAGAAGAGGTTTTGAGGAGATTTGAGAACAAAGCGAGACCTCCATGTCTACAAGCACGCAGCATTAGAGGACCAGTGGACAGAAAGGCAGAGTCGTCAATTTCCACTTTACAGGCAGCTTTGGAGACTTTGGAGTTCACAGTTCTGTTCAGCGTAGTTTAAACCGGTTCGGAGTCCGCACTTGTTAGCTCGAGCCGGGTGGAAGTTTTTTAAGAAATTAAAACTGGACAAGATTTTTTGTTTTTTATTGCCCTTTCGCCTCAAAATAAATAAAGGTCATTTTAGAACCTTAAAAATTACGTTACATTTATTTATCAATTGGTGTTCATCACCGTTAGGCGTAGGTTTTGTTTATTAAACAGTTTATTCTAAAATATTATAATCAATATTACTTTATATAAAAAAAATCACTTAAGGGATCTGATCTTAATACTTGTCCTTTTTTTTTCACTGCCTATTTACTTTGTTTAACACTTGGATGATCGTCATATTTTAAATTTAACATGTGTTGATCATCTCTGGACTCTTTCCTTTTAGAATGACTTTCTTTTTTACTTCTCTCAAATGTACCCTCTCCTCGACTCTTTCTTTTTCTTCGCCAATTCCTTTCCCCTTTATTTTCATTGATATTTCCTTAAATTGCCTTATTGACTCCTCCCTTTCCTATGCCAATCAATCTTTTCTCATCGATCGCGTTTAAAAGCTTGGTTCCCTTTTCCTTCGTGCCATCAATCACTCCGCTAAAAAATATGCTTTGCATCATAATTGCATTACCTAGGTCCTCCCACTTGATCTCACCATTAAGATAAAACTTTAATTTTTGTATCAACGGTTGAAAATTTGTTATTTCTTTTATTCTTTTCAATCTTTTTGGAGGTTATGCATGCTTTTTTCTTTATTACAGGTGTTTTCAATGCTAGCAACATGTTCGATTTTAACAAGTGTGGCATGAATCCTTTGTGCTATGCGAATTTTGACCTCGCCACTGTCATGCCCAAGGTTAATAATTCCATTGTCTCCACCATAAGGCATGTTTGTGTGTGTGTGTGTTTTTTTATATTGGTTTTTTTTTTTGTTTAATTACTGTTACATGTTTAGGTTTTGTGTAGGGAACGAACGATGTAGAGTCAAAGAATGGGGAAGATGGTGGCCTTAAGAACTAGTTATGATCGAACGATATATGTCTACTTAAAGCAAACAAGGATGACACTGAATTAACCTTCAATCATCTATGACTCCAGGAAGAAAACACTCTTTACTCTTGATTTTTTGCTTTGTATTTTATGAACCTTAAAACAATTGAATTTTTATTATCTTTTTTGTTCTATGTGTGTGCATATAATATATATGGTCATTTCTATTCATTTATTGACGCAAACTCCACTCAAACTGTTATGATGATGATAATTCTGATTTCTTTTCTGGAATAAACCCTAAATCTAAGTATTTAACATTTGTACTTAACCCTTTGAACTATTTCTTAGGTCTTTTGTTTCACTTAAACCTTCAACTTTGGCAATCCAGTGAATGTCCTGTAATTTTTTAAGCATCCACAATTTGGTTCTTGCATCTTGCATGCTTATAAATTAAATAATACTATTATCATTTCTTTTAGCAATGTGGTCAAACACAAATGTCTACTCAAAACAAACAAGGATTTATCTAATGATGAAAAAAAGGATATTTTGGATTATCTTTATACATTTCAGTATTAGATGCCTTAAATTGTTGCAATATATGTTGCTGTGGTTGGAAACACAACAACAAATGCATCTAACATTGCTAGTTATAATTCTTTTTTAAATGGATGTTATAATGAAGTAGGGAATGCCACAACAATTAAGAGTGGTAATGTTTTTGATAATGTGGGTTGAGTTTTTGCTACACTAGAGTTTATGGATGGTTACAATATGTTTTTCTCTAGCATGTTTGTAGCATGCATCTATTTGTAATTTGCATATGGCGCTGAGTTAAAGGATTTATGTGAAAACATCCTTTGTTACTATGTATTTGATTAAGATCTTCAAAAAAACTTTTGATTAGAGTTTGGATTTAGGTATTGCAGTTTGACCCTTTTAATGCTAAATGCATTTCAAGATATATTTGCGTGTTTATCCTGTGTTATCTATAATCTAACAATAATGGAATGTAAGCTGGATCTAGCAATTCGTGTTTCCATATTGTGTCTCGTATCGTGTTTGACACGTGTAATGAAACGAATTATTAAAATACGAACACAATACGAATTATAAATGTATTTAAATTCTAAATACGAACACAATACATTTAATATACGTATTACAAGCGACACAACACAATTAACACATATACAATTAATTTGTTTAAACAACAATGAATAATACGAATATATACGAATAGACATGACTAACACGTGTACAATTAATTTGTTTAAACACAGCACAAATAATATGGATATATACAAATAGACACGACTAACACAGATATATACGAATATATACGACTAACATGAATATATATAAGAATACGACTAAACTAATAAATAACTATAAACTGTCTATCATTTACAACTCAATAAATTTGGTATATTAATAATATAAAAAAGTACTTACATATTAAAAAAATAAAAAATTTAATACTCATTTAATATGTATTTAATATATATATTTAAATTTTAATTTATGTTACATAACTATATTAATTTTTAATATCAAATTCAAAATGATAAACTATTAAAGATTAAAGAATAAAATAATAATATATAGAAATAATATTAATAATTATATTGTATTTATATTATTAATATAAAAAATAATTTTATAATAATTATTAAATGAGTATCATAATTAAATGTTTATAATAATTTTTATATGATATTAAATAACTAATTAAGTATCATAATTAAAAAATTAAAAATTAAAATAATATTTATATGTTTATATTAAATTAAAATAAATATAAAAAATATGTTAAACGTGTTAAATATATTAAATATGTTTTCGTATGACAAGATTAAATTAAACGTGTTATTCGTGTCATGTCACATGTTTAAACAAGTCAACACATATAAGAAACGAATTTTATCATATCGAAATCCATATCAACACGAATAAAAATGAAAACACGTTTTTTTAAAACACATACGATTTTTTTTGTATCGTATCATCGTATCGTATTTGAAATTGCTAAGTCTAATGCAAGCTATATGCTTTTACTTGTTCTTTTTGAACTGCTTTAGTAATGGTAGAATAAAATTGCAATAATGGAATAAAATCCAACTTTCCTATGATTCATGTTTGATTTCACTTGCATAGTTGCATTCACAGGTATAGAATATGTAAATTGCACATTCAACATGAATGGGGTTAAAACCCACATTGTTTTACTTGTAGGTATATCGGTTGTAAAGTGAAGGTTATTATGGAGGCATACGACTGCTTATGGCAATTTGTAAAGTTTTCTATAAGCATTGTAAGGATAAGAACATAAATTTGCATAAGGGGAAATTTACCCTATCATATGATATTAATATCCCTCACCAAGCAGAGCTCTAAATAGAAAATACAAGAAATTGTATACTCTTTAGATCAAACTCATTATATCTTTCTATAACATATATATATATATAATTGTTTGACATTAACTACTTTTTTTCATATTTCTGATGATCATGGTCTTACTGTTTTTAGTTTTCTACAAAGGCAAGGGAACAATAAACTATAATGTTAATATGTATAACAAAGCATTGTAAAGTTTATTGCAGTTAATTTAGTATAACTACCTAAGTAATTTTGATTGTTCAATTTACCTTGCTGAAGTTCCGTTCTAAAGATACCTAATAAACATGATTTTTTTTTATTTCTCTCTTTATTATTGTAATGTTCTTATTTTATTTTTATTGCAAGGCTTACACTTTTGATTTCTCAAATAGGACTTTCTAGATCCAATGCTATTTCCCTATTGCTTTAATTGGGTACTAGTTATTTGGCAATGCTATCCAAGGCAACATCCTCATTTATTAGAGAAACCAAAATAGCTTATTGCAACGGCTAACATGTTTGTTGTTGTTCATGTTATTGGAAGCAACTAGGTTTGTATCAATCAATATTTTTTTAAGTAAAAAAAGTAGTAGTAATAGTTAATAAATAAAAACATATTTTTATACATTTTCAACCAAAATTATCATTATTTCCCTTTATTTATGTAGACACTCTATTTGGATTTGGTCCAAACCAATTGGGCCTAAATCAACCCAAACCAATTGGGTCCAAATCAATCCAAGCCCAGTTTTTTTTTTATTTAATTTTAAAATTTTATGTTTAGATTTTTATGTTTTATGTTTTTCTCTATTTTACTCATTTTGTATATATGTTATGTTAATTATTCATTCATTTATTGATTATTTTATTATTAGCTTTTTTCTTCTTTACCTGATATTTATTTATTTATCTTTATTTTTAATTTTTTTAATTTTATTTATCTTTAAATATCATCTTATTAGGTATTATAAAAAAAAAGATAATTGAAAATTTTGATTGAATGGCCGGATGAGGTTGAAGACTAAGTTTTCTTTTATCTTCAAATGATGATCCACATTCTTAATTTTGAAATTAATTGGGGAAAGGATTTATTTTGGGGATAAAGGCTAGCTTTTTGTGATAAAGTGGAATTTTGAAGAATTTGAAGAACTAAGGATCTTTTTTATGAATAGGTTTCATCAAAACACTGATCGAACTAGGAATCTATTCTATAAATAGGCTCCAATCATCATAGCAAGAAAGACACAAATTAGCAAAGAAAGATAGCAAAAAACAACAATCAGAAAGTACATAAGAGCAATAAAAAAATTCTAGGAAATTTTTATGGCAAAAAGTTTTTTTTTTTTTTTAGAAATTTGGGAATTAGGAGAGATTAATTTGGTATTAGACAGTGTTTGGAAGATTAAGAAAGCAGAAGTCTGATTCAACATTTAGGCGAGTTTTTTGAATTTTTGAAAATTATTTTTTTGGACATTTTTAAAATTCAACGAAGATTCCAGTGAAAGTTGAATTTTCAACTAGATTTCGGCTTGAATCCCATATTCTGACGCCATTTTTGTAAAAATCGATGATCATTCAAATTCATTCTAGAAAGAAAATAAAAGAAACACGGGGAAGAGAGAGAAATGAGAAGTAGGTTTCAGGAAAGAAAATAAAAATTTTAAGTTTTTATATAGCTTGAAAACGACATCGTTTTGAGTAAAGCAAAAACCTAAGATCTGCACATTTTACATTGACCCGACCCAAACCGTACTGCATGACCTAATGACCTGCAATCCTTTTGAGTCGAGTGAGCCATCAAATTGAGTCTTGAGCCATGT